TATTTTTGAATATTAGTGACTGTTATTTTAAGTGAATATTTCTGAATGTTACCATTTTTTAGACCATATTTAATAATTAATGATAAATTGACAATACAATTTGTAAATTTCGCAATAAAAAAAATATTTATTTTGAGTTTGTTGGTTTATTTAGTTTAAATTAGGTATTATACCTGATACACAAAATATAGGTACTTTAGTATAGATCTAGTACTGCAGTGCTATAGCCTGTAGTCTGTACTCTATAATTGAAATTCCAACAGCAATATATTATAATATAGGACAAGATGATAATTGCATTCAGTATAATATGACACTTACAGTTTTCCAGAATATTTACTTTTTTGAAAATATTATTCTTATGTACATAATATTTTAATGTCAATGCAAAACAATATTTTTTAAGAATTTTATCTGTATACATTTTTAATTAAGTTGTTATTTTTTTTTTTTTTTAATGGCAACAAACAACTTTATTTTCAAATTTTTAAGCAGAATATTTTTTGAAGTACCTACTTATACTCGAAAATTGTATTTCTACCGAGATTTTAATTAGTAAAAAGAATATGTGTCAGGTGGCGGATAATGATTGCACGACGTGCAAAACGCGTACTCGCAGTGACCGATTACGGTTTGTCGTTACGGCGGCGAATGAAACTCGAAATCGTATATCAACTGTAGATACCTACTTAAATTTATAAGTCATAAGCTTTTAAGACTTACCAAAATTGTTGCTTAATGTTTGGATGTTATTAGTAAAGAGTAAATACTGCGCAGTACTCGTAGCTACTGCAGACGCTGCAATACAAGGTGTAACAGATTGATCTGACCAATTAAATAACTTAAGTGTATTGAAATTCTGGAAAATCATCTAAATTTTACTACAGATAATATATCTATCCAAATTTAAATTTTCTAACTAAAACAATAACAATTTACAGAATGTACATTTAACATTGTTCCCGCATTGATTGTCCAATTCGTGAGATGGGGGTCTGATAAAGATCTACGAAAATTGAAATTGAAATCGAAAAAAATTAAAACCGGTACTCAATATTGAAAAAAAATAAAACCTGCAAGCAATACCGAAACCAAAATCGAGAAATAAGAAAATGATAACCAATATCGAAATAAGAATTTAAATTTTTTTCAGTTTTAAGCCTTGCTATTTTTATAAGTTAACGTGTTCGTCGTTGGGGAGGTTAGTACCTACACCTATGACCTATGTTAGGTTAATAGAAATGTAGAACTTAGGAAGGTGCTGTTTTTATTACAAATTATGAAATACAAAATAATTGTCCAAGGTTTATATTAAATATGAGCAGGTGACCTGATGACAACTAATCAATAACTTATGCATCTCATTTTACACCTTGTGGCAGAATAAATTAGAGGACCATTTCCAAAAATATATAAACTATAGTTTCAAACACAAGAAACAATATTTTGTTAATCATGGAGTTGTATTAATTTGTTTAGACATAATGATTTTTATGTAAGGTATGACATAAATTTAATAGTTATTGGACATGGGTTATACTATTATTTGTTAAATGTTAACTCAAAGCTAAATGCCTAAATCAAATAATAATATCTTACATAGGTTATAGGTACTTACATAATATTATAGGGTATAATAATATGTCACCTGATGTGTTATTTATTTCATATAATATTGTTCGAAAATAGTATGAAAAACATACTTAAGATACAATTGTCAATTTCTATAATCAGATGACGTGTTGGGAAAGTTTTGGATGTGGGCACATAATTAATAAATTACACTGTGAATATAAGACAGTATAGAAAATACATTAATTCAACATAGGTTATACTTATCGTTGGAAATTATTGTTCGTCGTTGATCCACACTAGTTCCGTGAAAACTGTTATATTTTATAACTTTGGTTTCAAACAGTAACTTACCAGTTAAAGCTATACTTCCTAAAAACTCTAGGATGATTGAAAATAACCTATCCTGGACAACAAAGTTTACTAATCTAATAGTATTCTTATGTCAAAGTGTAGTTTATTACCTATTCATACCAAAAATAACAATATAATTTATAAAAAAAAAAATTAACAAAAAAATTAATATACCTAACGTTTAAAAAAATAAAAACGATAAACTGAAAAAATTGAATAACATTTAAAAGTACAATAACGATAAACATTAAAATTGTATAACTTTTAAATATCCAAAAACTATATGTTTATTTTAAGTTTAAACCATGGATACAAGTATACTGAACCTACCTAATAGAATTAATATTAATAATGTTTATGTTTATATTATACCTATTGTCATGCATGATACAGCACACCGCAATGTAACATAAAATATCAAGGCTGGGCATTAACGAGTTAAAAAGTTAAAGTTAATTTTATTTTAACTTTTTAACTTAACTAGTTACTTTTCATTAACCTAACTGTTTTTATTAAATTAAATTATATTATTTGTTGTTTCCGTCTACCAAGTGCGTAATATAGCAAATTGTAAGCTCAGCAGAACACGCTCAGCTCGGTTAGTTTAAAAATTAGAGTGAATAGACCTCTTGTTTGTGAACACGAATTCGTTTTCGCGCCACCGTAGTTTCGGCATGTGTCCCCAAAGCTGCGCCTCCGAAGCTCACGAGGTGGCTTACCCCCTCCTCGACCGTCCAGCAAGGGGCCGTTCGCCGCCGTAGGCTGTGCCGCCTAGTAGTCGTGTGTCTTTTCCAGGCGGTCGAGCCCGACGCATCGAAGCGTCCGCGTTTCACTGAGCTTTGGCGACCAAACCTCGTGTACCTACAACCGACTGTGTCAAGTCGTCGCGTTGTTAAACCTCGTGGTTTGTGTCACCGGTATATCATTGCGTGCCGCCGCTTATACTGTAGTAAGCAAGTTACTACGTAACAATAAAACCAATTCCACAGGTGCATAGTTATTGTATTATACGGTAGACCGGCAGAGTCGGACATAAAGAACGGAAATGGTTGGGGTTTCCTCCTTCAAACCTAAGGAGACAGGCTCACTGAATTGCTCAGGATGAAGGGTTCAAGAATAGGCGGATGTAATATTTACAGAAACACTGAACACGACGAAATACAAATATAAAAGAGTAAAATGATTATTTTAATAATAATCATATTTTGGTAATGCGTCAATCGTTAATGCGTAGGCTGGAACGATGACCACACAAATTACATCCGTGGCAGTCTTGATACAGTATCTATAGGCGAGGGGTACGGGGAACCTCATATATAAGGGAGCCTGAATCGGCCTGTATTCAGACGTGTACTACCACCCCCATTAGTGCAAGCACCTTCACGCCACTCTGTACAACAATATTTGAACTTCATAAAATTATCGAGTGTTATAATAAAATTCACAATTATACAACAACTGTTATATTATTCATTCATCAACCACGACTATATTATCTGAAGAAGTGTCTGCGACCTGCAACGTTTACGTACTGGTAGCCACTTGTCTACTATTACTACTACAATAGGTACCTATAGATACCACATATGTTACAATACTATCGCTTATAACTTTGCGTGCCGCCGCTGGCTTGTTGCCGTTCATTGTGTGCCGCCGCTGACTTGTTGCCCATCCATCAAGTAGACCGATCATCGACGGCGGACCAGGTCAAAAAGCTTATCATAACATTGTAATTGATTTAAGTGTGTTGTTTGTTTTGGGGCACCCTGTCTATTAGTAATTTATAATATCTTGTTTGATGTACCTAAGTTGTTGTTACATATTATAATTATTACGCGCGTAGTGCACTTACATAAGCATTAGCTCTTAATTATTATTTCTGTTTTATAATATTGAGTCACCTTGTCCTAACTCAACACGTTTTCGTTGCCGCAAACCGCGAGAGAAAAGTAGGTGTGGTGCGCGAACATTCACCTCTTATAAAATTTAAAGGTAAGATTATTATCTAGGCAACTTAATTATGAAAAAAGCTTTTTATTATAATATAAAGTTTTTTTTTTTAATTTATTAAAATATAATTACAATCTATACAGATTTGGTATATTAAGTAATATTTACAGTGGCATAGCATGAAACTTGGTGGCCCTAGGGTCTATAAAAGTTGGAGGCCCTCTCTAGTGTAAAAATTAAACAGTGATTTTATGAGGTAAAAAAAAACGCATGTAAAGGTACCTGTATTATTTTACTGCTGATCAATTTAAAAAGACAATGACGTTAAAATATTAAGTATTATATTATATAATATAATTCAAAATTAACTTTTCTAGCCTTCACTTGAGCAAACTTGTCAACGACTTCGTCCAAATTTAATTGCTGTGCCCTCTTATTTTTGACGGAAATAATTGACAAACCACTCAGCCGTTCTTCTGACATCGTGCTCGTAAAAATTTTTTTATTATTTTTAGTTTTGAGAACGATCGCTCTGCCGTCGCAACAGTTAAACTAATTAGGTAGCGTCAAGTATAAAATAAATATGATTATAAAAAATGATTTTTTCACACATTCGGCAAGCATATCAATTATCTCATTTTGTATCGTGGGACTTAAATAACTGATTTTTTTAGGTCCTCGTTGTAAAAGTTCTGATAATACAGGATCACATTTCACGAGAAGATCAATGACTGCTAAAAAGTTACCACGGTTTTCGTTGGTGATTCAAAATTTATCATTTAGAGGCCATAATGCAAAAATCAACAGCGAAAACCGTGGTAACTTTTTAGCAATGTTACATTTATAATGCGTTTTATTACTTGTCTCCAAAATCCAACTTCTCTGTTAATTTGAGATTTTAAATCCTCAGATAATGGATTATTTTTTTCCCATCGGTCTGCAGTAAGACAAGCATTTATATGAGATAAACTTTTTTCATGCAATTAAATTTTTTCCGATATATGTTTCCAATCGTTAATACCATTAATCCACGAACTCAACGTACAAAATAACCAACATGGTCCATGGTTGACAGTAAACTAAATCAAACGATTTTGAATAACAAATCCATTTACGAAGTAAACTTACACCGCCTTGACTTTTTGTGTAATAATGTTCAGACGATTTTTATCATCAATAATTTTTTCCGGAAATGGACCATCTAGTTGGCATGGTCCTTTAGAAATAATAAAAATTTTATCTGAAGTATTCAATGGACTTGTAAATAAGGCTTTGTCATTTGAATAATCTCCTAAGGTCATCGAATGTATCGCCTCAATTACATTAACACATCTATTGTAATACTAGTTAAAAGTTATGAAAAATTTATTTAATTTAATTAATAATTTACTTACAATATCAGTTGTTTCCGCAGGCGATTTCGTAGGCGTGGTACCTACTTAAACTTGAATCATTTGAAAAAGAATCTTTATTAAGAAAAGCACTTATTCGAGGGAATGATTTTTCTTTTTCAACACTCTGTGATTTTAATTTTCTTTTTAAATTTCCACTTAAATGTACATTTTGAGACATTATTAATTGACTATTGAATATCGACGTATGTTAATTCAATAATAATTCAAAATATTATTTCAAAAAATAATAACTTATGAGTTATGACAAATAATAACATTCACGCAAGACGCAAAGGAACAACAATAATGTACTCAACTATGATCACGATTTTCGACAAGTAGTAATACTAATTACTAACATCGATTATAAAATCTTTATAATTAAAGATAATCAGAATGCAATTCGTACTGTAGACAGCAATTTGAAGTCGTCGTGGTGCTGCAATTATTACATTGAAGAGCATATTCAATTTCATCTAAAACCATTGTTACAAGTCGGTTGACCGTACCCTCGTACTTGTAGAGTTTGTAACAAACACACGTCTTTTCAGTAATAAAGTTTATTGAGTTGAACATAATATACAGACAATGAATGGCACTCTCCATTCTCCACTAACTCTCTTTCAATCTTCATGTTACTTATATCTAAATTTACCTAGGACAATCCATCTTATATAGAAAGTGCTTACTCGCAGTTTCGGGATTGTACCTGTTTATACTAATTTACAATAATCATTTCATTTCGTAATTCTACATGTCTTATAAATACTACGTTTCTAATTTGTTCACTAACTATTACATCCTTGCTTATTTCCTATGTTTAATAATACAAATTCATAACACCATCGAGCAAATAATATTAAACGATAAGCCATGATAATTTATTTTTCTAACAGCCACCAGAAACCCATTTAAAGATCTTATGAGTTATGACGCATGATTATACGCCTTCGCTGTACAATATTTTTTTTTCGTATTTTTCATAATCAAATTATTTTCAATGTACCTAAATATTATTTAATAAAAAAAAATGTTGAATATTTTTTTTTATGTAACGGTACAGGTCCTGTGGATCCCACGTGAATACGCCACTGAATATTTATTTAAGATAATAATAATATAATACAATGTATAATATACATAGCGAGACCAACAGATATTGGGAGGACACTCAGTAGTGCCACCCGACAAATTTTAAAACGAGTTTTAAGATCTATAAAAAATTTACAATTTTAAAATACTCATAACTCGCTTTAAAATTAAAATACATTAAAAAACCCATGAAGTTGCTTACATTATTATAATCTTACTTTTAGATTTTATAAGAAGTCAATTCGCTATAATTTTTTTAATAACGGAGCTACACTTGTTCATTTGAACGTAAAATTGACTATGTTATGCGCTCGTAAGACGGGGACAACCCATGAGGGTATCACATCCTCTTGATCCCTAATACGTTTAGAACTTCTAATTAGTATAGTATTATTTATATAATAGATATTGAACCTATATATTGTTAATTATGATATTAATATTTTCTTTTTAAATACATAAATCATTCATTATGATCATTTTTCAATAAATAAATAAAAATACAAGCAAACAAAATAAAATTCACAAAATGATGAAACAAAATGTTTTTCGATCAGCTAGATTTAACTTTTATGCAGAAGTCAAGATAAAATTTATAAATATTATAATATGTCTGTAAAAATCTGCATACCTGTGTCACTGCTTCAATCACATTGAAGAAACAAGAAATATAAAATAGGTATGAAATGAATCCTGTTAGCTTTTCCCGTTATGATGATGGACAAGGCTGGGCAAGTTAACTATTTTTTTTAACTCGTTAAGTTAAGTTAATATAGAAAAATGTAAGTTAAGCTTAAAGTTAAAAGTTAACTTCATTTTTTTTTTAACTTGTAAAAGTTACAAGTTAATTAGAAAATAAAAGTAACTTAACTTAGTTAAAAATAAGTTACTTTTTTTTTTAAATAAAATTAACAATTATACTTACCTACCTACCTTTTTTAAAGCTAACATAATATAACATAATAATGTCTTACAATATTTGAATAAATGTTTGTAATAAAATTAGTTACTGTAGGTACTTATATTAATTTTGTGTATTATACTTTAATTAGGTAAATAGTAAATACCACACTACTACGGGTATTATTTACATCGACGGGCCAAGTTATCATCGTAATTCTATGAATGAATAAAAATATAATAATAAGTAATGATATTAATAATGATTAGGTATAGGTTAGGTACTGAGTAAATTGTTATATTTTTCTTTGATGCGGTTACCCCTATGATATTTCCCTCTATAATATAGTTATAAAATATTTTCTGTGAATATGCAATATAAAAACTTACTATTATTATAAATTATTGTTTAATAAAATATATTTAATATTTCGGGGTTTTTTTTATGTAATTAATTTTACAAAATTGAATTAATTTTAAATAATATGTGGTTTAGGAAAAAATTAACTTAACGTGCCAATACAGATAATTAACTCGTTAAGTTACTGAATAACTTGGGGAAAAATGTAAATCGTTAAGTTAGAAGTTACTTTTAAAAAAAAAAGTAACTCGTTATTTAACTTAGTTAAAAGTAACTTAACTTTTTAACTTAACTTTAACTTATTAACTCGTTAATGCCCAGCCTTGATGATGGATAAATATAAATCCAATCAATTAGGTTTTAAACAGTTAGAACAAGTGATAACAATTTCATATTTCCTATAATTGTATTCATGATATATCGATATCAACATAATAACCAAAATGGTACCGGGTGATGTTAGGTTGCATATTTTATGTCAGCTCCAAACTAATAGCATTCAAATTACAATTTATAACAGTTTATAGTTAGGGCAATATGTAAAACACCATAATGCTTACTGTTTAGTTTATTTATTGTGTTGAGGGTTATAGCTGTCGCCTGTCGAACAAGTTGAAGATGAAATTGAAATATGAACGAAAGTCGAATTTGAATAATTTGAAAAGAAGTTGGAAGAAACTGATGAAAAAGGGAAAATAATAATCAAGTTAAACGTCAGATATTTATTATTACACATTTTCATGGTGTTTCGTATAGATGTAATCAAACAATAACTACCTTATTAAAATATCTACGGTGCAGAGTGGTGTCCTTAGTATATTTTTTTAACTAATTGATATATTTTTTATTGGATAATCATATATTTCTGGTATAACGTTTTGTTAGAAACAAATATGTAATAGAAGAAATTATAATAATTAAATTAAACACAAACTTGCGATTAAAAAATTTGGGTGAAGTATTATTTACAACTTCCACTTCCACTTCCTTTTTGTTAGCTAATAAATTAGATATCTCACCACAACAGTCACAAATCCAATCCCGAGACCTAAATTAAAAATATTTTCAATATTATTAAGTATTTTATAACAAAGTTTTCTTTTAAATACAATATGTTACTTTAGAGCCAAAAATTGTCTTTCTTCAGGAGTACATTCAAGAGCTCCCACTGAATCTAGGTCATTAGTTGTCATAAATGCAATCAATGCTAATATAGATGTTCTAATCGACCATGACGGTTGCCAAGTTTCTGGATGATAACCGGTAATGCTTAAGCATATTTTTTTATTTGTTTCCCATCGACCATTTGGCTACTCAATTAATAATATTATGTAAAATTACGGTTAAATTACACTAGTTATTACGCACAGTTAATAGTATTATGCTAGGTGGCTTCATGGGATATTCAGTTGGGAATAATATGCGACCATGATAAATACCACCATCAAACTCTGATGCATGTGGGCCACGCATAGTAAAGTGCCATTCAAATAAATTGTCTTCTAATGGATGAGCACTGTATTCATCTGTTGGCTCTGCCAACTCTTTTGCTTCACTCATTAAACGTTTCACAGCTGTAATAAAAATAAAAATAATAACTCCAAGTATTAATAAATTGTTAACATATTAATCTTTTACATAAATTACTACAATTGTATATTTAATAGCTACTATATGGTAATTATAGAAAAAAAAGCGGATAAGTGGATGTCACTCTGCTGTACAGTAGGTTACAAGTGGGTCTATGTATAATGGATTGGTGATAAACAAAACGCTAGAAATTAAAATCCCGTTTTTAATGGTTTTTCATACATCTGTCGGTAGTTTTTCCCATGGCATTGGATAGCTATTGAGAAAATTGAAAAATGACCTGTGTAAAGTACCATCTTGGTCCAATTTGCTAAAATATAAAGTACTATATGTTGATATCGAAGTACTTCTTCTGGTAGAACTTTTGGATACAGGGTAAAAAAAAAAAAAAAAATTGAACCACTAGGTAGCTTCCTTGCTCCGCTCAGAATCTAAAAAAACTTGTATTAAATATGATAAAAATGCAAATGTGGTGAGGGACAAGAGTGCAAGACACAGACCATAATTTTACATGGTCACCTCTACCGATTAGACATAGAAAGAACAAAGCTATACAAATTTCTGCTTATTGAAAAATGAATGAAAATTAAACAACTGAAGACTGCACAAAAAAAAGAAGACTACTTAAAATGTTTTAATTGAAGACAGCAATTGATACGTAAATTAAACACCTCTGGTAAATAACTAACCTGGTCCTAATGATATCTATGTAACATATTGTGTGAACATATTGTCAAATATTATTAACAATAACTTTTAATAAAATGTAATATGACATAATAGAATATTTCCCTATACTAAACAATTAAATATTGTATACACATTTTATTTATTTTGTTCAATTAGGTGAATAGTTTTGGGGGATTAAAATTTTATGAAAACAATAACATGAATATAATATTATAAACAATTAGTAGGTATTGTTTATTTCTGAACTATGATGTGCTACTCAAAATAAGTGATTTACTTACCTGTGCTTTTACTGTTGAATTCATATTCCATGTTTTTATAATGAAATAGGTATATTTTTCACTGTTATATATTTATTTCTCTTACAATATTGTATATAGTAGTGTTTAATAATGTGCAAGTTTTAATTAAATGTTATTTTGTAATTAACTATTTATTAGGAATAAGAAACAAACAAATAATAGTAATAATTTGTCATGGATATTTGTGTTTATTTTATTTAACAATATTGATAATTCCATTATTTATCATTAATATTTGATAATGAAATAACATTGTAAAAATTGTTTGGCTAAAAATGATGAGTATATACTAGATTTTTAGTTAAATAATAAAGTCAAAAAAACTGTAAAGTGAGATTGCAAAGAAAGGTGGTGGCTGGAAAGGATTAATAATTTAGTGATGGTGAATTAAAAATTTTTAGAAGTGCCTAGCAATTACAGAAATACATAATAATGAAAAACGATTATTTCTGTTTCAGTTTTTGACAAAATCTATTTTGTTTTTGATTAGTTTTTGTTTTTAGATAGGTACTTTAAAAGTCCACCAACTTTGTGTATGCAAGATAAACAATTCAAAATATTTTGACTTGGTTTTGAATTATATACAGTGAAACCTCTGAATAGCGGACACTATCGGTCGCTGAAATTTTGTCCGCTATTTAGAGGAAAACATTTTTTTTTAACAAATAAATAAATTCAATAATTTTATTTTATATTATTTTTACATTAATTGAATACACGATAAAACTAACATTTATGAAAAAAAAAAACAGTTACCTAAATTTGTATTTTAATTTTTACATTAATTAAATACATACATTTAAAAAAAATAAAAACTAACATTTCTGAAAAAAATCTGTTACTTTAGTTTGTTTTCTAATTGCAGGCGTAGTTATTTCGTATGTTAAGGAATTTTCTAATTGGACTGTGTTTGAGAACAATGAACTATTCTGTACCTCGATAGAAGAAATATATTTATTTATGTATGTCTTTTACTGCTAGCAATGCCTCTCGTAGACTTCTTATTTTTGGAATTTCTTGATCTTCGGACCCATCATTTTCTTCATCACTTTCTTCTTCATTTTGTGTAGACGTGCTCGTAGTATCAGATGAATTTTCGATATCGGCGTCGTAAGTCTACGCAATCGTCTAGTGTTATGTAGTCATTTTCCGTAATTGTATTGTAAAAATAACTAATATCAATGCCATAAAAGTGTCCGTTATTTAGAGTGTCCTGTATTTAGAGGTTTTCCTATACATAAATAGTGAAAAAGTTCCCGTCCCCGAAAAAACGTCCGCTATTTAGAAGTGTCCGTTAAGGGAGGTTTCACTCAATGTACAATTATCAACTTTTTATTTTTTATAAATGTCGAAAGAACTATTTTGTTCTAACTAAATATAATGCAACGATCCTCAAAGGTTTTTGTTGGTGTAAATTAAAAATATGCTGAGTGTACATTTCTTGTATGTATTTGAAGTTAGATTTTTGATCATTTCTTGAAAATTTGCAAATTACTTTGTAGGAAGAAATTTTTAATAATTATAATTTTTTTAAACTTTTTTTATAGACTTTGTTGCATAAAATAATTCTTTTCAGAGTGTATATAATACAAAGATGTCCTAACCTATCATGGTATAATACAATATTAAACATATTTTTTATCACACCCACATAGTGGGTATATCCCATCATTTACTTTCCCGGTTAGTATATTGCATATATAATATCAAAAAATCAGAGTCATAGTCTCGGCACTCCATATAAAATAAATCAATTTCATAGGCCCATTCAAATATAAATATGATAATATAGACATTGTTTGTTGAAAAACCTGATTTTATTACAATGCTAGGTTTTTTAGATCTATCTAGCATTCTAGAATAGCATAGAAATAAACGTCATGGATTTAAGTACATAAATATTATATTCATTTTGGATTAATAAAACTTTCACGCTTAGAGAACCATACAATTCTCATTATTGATTTTTTTTTATACCCAACTGGTAGTTAATGATAAATATTATAATAGTATACAACTATACAATTTTAAATAGCCGTATCTGTTCTCTGCCAAAACAGGCCTTGTTTATGCCAACTGTACCGTCTCTCCTAGTCATCGGATAAAATGTATGAAACATATGTATTTGAATATTCGTAATCGTCATGAAGTTGTCTTGGAGACGACTTTGACCACTTTTTTGAAAATGAACTCTTTAACCCTTAAAATTAGATTATCGGATAAATAAGTTAGTTAATATGATTGGCAAAGAATATGGGTAGGTATTTTATATAAATCCTGGTCTATTTTAATTTTTAAATAATACATTTTAAATTTAAAAAAAAAGTGGGCAAGTGGATGCCGCTCTGCTGTACAGTAGGTTTTAAGTCAGTCTCTGTAATAGTGTAATGGATGGTGTTAAATTTAATTTCAATGATATAATATCATTGTATAAGAAAAACGATTCTGAGTGAAGGCGGTCAGTCAGCCTATTAAATTACTAAGTATATTTGATGATATAATTGTGAATAAAATATATAATAATTTATATATGATCCATTTACGTGGAACCTTGTTTTAATTTTTCAATCCATAGCTATAAAAGTTGAACATTTTATACATTTTTCACTACTAATAATTATTAAATTTTGTCAAAATTCGAAATTAAAATGCTTATTAAAAAAAATTGTCAATATGTATTTTTAATATTTTTAACAGCTATTGTAGCAATATATCAGGAGCTTTGTATTACATTTCCACGCTTTTTGGCCCAACAAATTTTATTGATATTTGTAGAAAAAAAACTGATACATTTGAAATTTGAAATTGTGCGTACACTCAAAATGTTTTTAAAATTGTATGGTGTATAGAAAATGAAAATATAAACATTCAGTGAAATTTTCATGTATTTACAGTTATTCGTTATTGAATTACAACAAAACATGAGAAATCGAGTGAATATGTAATGTTGTAAAAATATGAACTTAAACACTCATAGAAATTTAATTTGACTTTTTAATAGAATTTTTTTTTTCTTGATAAAGGTACAAGGAGTCTTGTATTACATTTTCAAATCTTAAAAATTAAAAAAAAAAATGTTTTTTTATGAATTTCTAGCTCAAAATAATTTGTACATTTTCGTCGTTTTCAAGTATTTTGTCAATATTTGAACTTTAAATGCTTATAAAAAAAAACTGTAACCCGTTTTTAATATTTTTCACATACCATTTTAACAAAATATATTAGGAAAATTGTAGTACATTTTCAAGATTTTTACACAAAAATAAAATTTTATTGACTCATAGAAATAAAAATTAAAAAAATTGATACTGAAAATGTCCGTAAACAGTTCTAGCTAGCGCATATTACAATATATCGGTACTATAATTTGTACTACATAATAATAATTAAGTGATAAACACATTCACCGGTATCCAACAACTAATAAATCCAGTACCTGTAGGTACTCAATATTGCAGAGTACATAGCCGTCCCAAGGGGGGGGGGCAAATGGGGCAAGTGCCCTAGGGCGTCTAAAGTATTATGAATTTAGGGGGCGTACTAGAAATGGATGATAAAAAGAAAAATTTGGTGTTCTTATTTTAGGTATTTTTTTTTGTTTATACTGTAATATCAAAGATGAGTATCTATCAAATTGTATACTATTAAGTAGGTATACAATTATGTAAATAATGTGTTAAATCTTAATGCGACATAACTTCAATAATAATATATTGAATATTCATAAAAACAAATAAAAATATTAATACTTATAATTTATAAGATTATTAAGATTACAATAGTAATTTATTTAAGCAAATGAAATATATTTTAAATATGTATATACATCATTACAATAATTAAGTAATATACTGTATACTATATTGTAATATACTTATAAACTAAACTAATTCATATCTTTGGTACCTAGTAGTACCTTTTTTTATTTTTGTGTCTGTCATCACGTTTTAGGACAGTAAAAGTGCTTGGATTTTCTTCAACAGTATCTTTTCTGATAGGAAAGTGAATCTAGTTGGTACTTTGGGGGGTGGGGGGGGGGGTAAAAATTTCCCAGTAGTTTTCACAAGCACCGGGAAAAACAACATGACAATTAAGGAAAAACGGGAATTTTTACGCAAAATCTGTTTTCCAAAAAATCGATTTTGATTTTTGGTGTAACTCTAAAAGAAATGAACGTATATACAAGAAATTTTCACTGATTGTTTATATTTACATTTTGTATACACGATAAAATTTTCAAAATATTTTGATTAATTTTGAACTGTTTAGGGACATTTTCATTTTCCATTTTTTTTTAGTTTTTTTTTTTAAAATATCAATAAAATTGTATTTGTTGGTTAAAAAAGCTTGAAAATTAAATAGAGGGCTATTAGTATATTGTTTCAAAGGCAAATGAAAAATATTAAAAATCCTTAGTCACAATTATTTTTATAAGCATTTAATATTCAAAAATTGACAAAATATGGAAAAATCACGAAAATTAGCAAATTATTTTGAGTTAAGAATTCGTAAAAATTTTTCTTTTTAAATCTAAGATTTTAAAATGTAATACAAGATTCCTTATAAGATTATCTACCTTTATCAAAAAAAAAATGTCTATAAGAAAGTCAAATTAAATTTTTATGAGCGTTCGAAATCCGTAATATTTAAGTATAAACGAACAATTTCAAAATGTTTTAACTTAATGGATTTTTTTAAATCAACTGAGAAAAGCTAAGTTATTTCAATTGTAAATTAAACTATTTAAGTTCATAAGTTGATTAGAAAATAAACTAACTAGTTAAGTTAAAAAGTTAAAAAAAATTAACTTTTTAACTGAACTTTAACTTTTCAACTAGTTAATGCCCACCTTTGAATTTTATAATCACTTATATTCACTTGTGCAATTTACAATGTTGATTGTTATACTACACTGTTATTACACACGCAGAAACGCAGAATGTATGATTTATAATGAAATCTAGGTACTAATTTGTGAAAATAGTTATATATATTTTCTTTCTGTAATGT